GGTTAGATACAAGCTGACATAATATTTAAATTAACAGTTTGGATATAATCTGGGAGGTGAAATACAAACCAACAAGCGAAATACGAGTGGATGTTAACTACTAGTAGACAGATCAAATATGATCTGGGAGGTGAAATACGAGTCAACAGGTCAAATAAGAGTGTTCTTAAGCACTACAGAAAATAATTCCATTACATGCAATAGGTAGCATACAACTTTATGGTATGTGAAGTGCGAATCCTAGAAATACTTAGATGTCAGTACAATCTATACATCACTAACCTTGCAGCATCTATGGCGACCTCTTCTAGATATTGTAATGTACGGTTTTCAGGAGTATCAATACCAGGACCTAATATACAAACATTTACAGTTATGCCATCTATGTGTAAACTGTACAGCTATCTTTGGAAAACAAATTCATATCACAGTCAATGTAAAAGTGCAAACAACAGCTATGGTTCACAAATTAGAAAATCATCACACAATAAATCAGCTCATCTATTAAAAGTGTTCTACTCAGTGTGCAGTTGGGTACTGAAAAAATGTTGCGATTTCACACTTGAACACTAATAATATAGTACTTTTAAATGATAATTTATTCAATAATTATGAATTATTTGTTATTCCACACACACACAACACAATTTTGAATTTTCCAACGTAATCACATCACCCTGGAATGGCATATTTAACAGGGCTTTACTAGAGAGAGGATCAGAGACTGGGAGTGCCCACCTAAGTTCATTAATTATTTTATTAATTCATTAATCAGTATATATATAGCTAATGTATCATTTTAAGTCTTGTCATGCATTAACAGTACAATGCTGATGTGAACAAGATGTGAACCAATGAATTGATTGCTTTGATGTGTAAAGTTATACAATTCAAATATACCCCGGTATACATAGGAATGGAGACTTACCCAATGGTTCCACTATCTGATCCACTAACCCCATCTTCTTAGCTTTCTTGGCTGGTATATTTTTACCAGTCAATGCCATGTCTAGTGCATTGGGTAAGCCAATCTGTGTGTGAAAGTTATAGTTGATTTAAATAATTATAGACATATTGACAATGGTCAGAAATCTGCTGAAAGCCCAGCTACACATTTACAGCCAAGCTAGTAAATTCAAAAATGTTTCATGATTGGTCATCATTTTGTGGCAATCAAGTATTATAGTTACAACCGTGAGTGGTGTATATGATGTAGCTATAGAACAAACCGAACAATAACGAAACATTAGAATTCACACTTGTAATGACAGTGTTGCTTTAAAAGAAATGTACCATGATGTGGGACAATTTTAGCATAAAACAAGCCATGCATGGCACAGTCCTCGTTAGTTATCAAATTTAAGATATATAGTTTTGTTTATAGTAATAACCATGTCAAGAATATGATTTTTTAACATTAAAATGATTGACATTTGTATCTGATCGTCAAACAAGTACTTGTCCATATTGAGAGATATTGCTCTGGAACAGCATTCAAAATCAGCCATTTTGAATACATGTATATATAACATGATGTATAACGAATATATAAAATTTAAATATAATAAGTCAAAGCATTTAAGAGATATGGCTCTAGAAGCCCAATCATTAAAACAAAATGGCCACCAGTCAGCCATTTTGAATCCGATCTGAAAAATAAATGACGTGCATCAGGAACCTGTAATGTCTAATGTATGTACCAAGTTTGAACGAAATCCATCCATAAATGCCAGAAATGCTTGATATTTGATGATTTTTTAGCACAAAAATGGCCACCATTCAGCCATTTTGAATATGATCGTCGAACCAATATATCTGTTTATCTATGACATGATGTATAATGAATTATTAAAATTTGAACATAATCAGTCAAAGCAAGTCAGAGATATGGCACGAGAACCACATTCATTAAAACAAAATGGCCTCCAGCCGGCCATTTTGAATCTTTATCTGAAAAACAAAATTTATTTGCATGAAGGGCCCATAATGTCTAATGTATATACAAAGTTTGAACAAAATCCATCTGTAAACAGCCGAGAAATGCTGGATTTTTAGGATTTTTCAGCACAAAAATGGACGCCATTCGGTCATCTTGAATCAGATCGTAAAACAACATGTTGTGCATCAAGGTCCTATAATGTCCAACGTATATACAAGGTTTGAACAAAATCCATCTATAAACAGCTGGGAAATGCTTGATTTTGATGATTTTTAGCACAAAAATGGCCACCATTCGGTCATCTTGAATCAGATCGTAAAACAACATGTTGTGCATCAAGGTCCTATAATGTCCAACGTATATACAAGGTTTGAACAAAATCCATCTATAAACAGCTGGGAAATGCTTGATTTTGATGATTTTTAGCACAAAAATGGCCGCCATTCAGCCATCTTAAGTCATATCGTGAAACAAATTGACGTGCATATGTATAATATCATGTGTAATGTATGTGTGAAGTTTGATTGTGATTGGTCCAGACATTTCTAAGATACAGGTTCGGACGCACGCACAGACGCACGCACGCATGCACAGAGGTCAAAACATAAGTCCCCGTTTTCGGACTGCGTTCGAACGGGGACTAATAAAATACTGTTAAATCTCTATTAGAAGCAGCATCCCTGATAGATGTCACCCCCATATTTTTTGAATAATTGAGAACCAAAAATTCATCATTTCTCATATGTGCAACTGCTCTAATAGAAGCCACATCCCCTCTGTTGTATTGTACCATTTTAATAGAAGCTGCAGCTTCTAATACAAACTTTACAGTACATATAATTGATAAATCTATGCTAGGCGATTGTGCATAGAACCAAAAGTGATTGACCTTTGACCTTTGGTGGGCATCATTAAGAAAGGGGATGAGTGCTATTTGATGAGTGTCATTTATCTATGTGCATCATGATAGTCACAACCACGACAAAAACAAGATGTCTGACCTTCAGTGACCATTTTTGAGACACTTAACAATCCATTCAGTAATCAAAATTTTATGTGTGAACTTTTGCACTTTACAAGAGGTTACAAGACTTACCTTTGGCAGCAATCTATAGTATGCCGGATGTGAAATTTAGAAACTTCACATACAATTTTGTACAGCACTATACGAACCCTTCTATGCTTTCCATAGGTAAAGGTTAAGTTTACGTAGATGTACATACTCACCATTTTAGGTAATCTCTGTGTGCCACCACCACCGGGAAGTAGACCTAACATGACCTCAGGAACAGACAATACCGTCTTCTTATCATTAACAGCGATTCTATAGTTGCAGGCAATAGCAGTCTAGAAAAATTACAAAAAAAAACAACAATATGTGAACTATATACATGTAGAAACTGGAAACAGTAGCAAATCCTGATCAGAATTTGCAATCTATTCTGTGAATTACCGGTACCTGTTTTGGGGACATTCACATTGAGGTGTAGAATGGTGGGAAAAAATTGAGAGCAGCATATGTACAACAGACAGGTTCTTTCCCCCAATTTCTACACAAATCTTATGACATGTGCAGCAGCATTTCAAAGGATTTGAATTCAATCGAATTCATGGAAGATTAAGTAGAATTCAAATTCTGTAGTACTGAGCATATGTGCAATGCATCGTGGGAAAATTCATCATTATTCACGACTGTTTCAGCTCATGTCAGGCAAGACCAAATGAAAACAAATTAAATAAACAAAGTTTAAAATTAACCACTTCACAGACATGTATTGGTGACAATCCCCTACCCACAAATTTTGTTTTACATCTGATAAACCATCAAGATGAAAGTACAAAAAACATTAAACAATTTTCAATTCAGTCTGAACATGCATAAACGTTTAGGAACCAAGTTAACTTTAGCCATCATTTACAAAATAAATAAACTACAAGACCTGCAGGTAATTGAGTATTATATCTATTTGGTACAAT